ATATATATATATATGCATATATATATATGCATATATATATATATATATATATATATATATATATATATATATATATATATATATATATATATATGCATATATATATATGCATATATATATATATATATATATATATATATATATATATATATATATATATATATATATATATATATATATATATATGCATATATATATATATATATATATATATATATATATATATATATATATATATATATATGCATATATATATATATATATATATATATGCATATATATATATATATATATATATATATATATATATATATATATATATATATATATATATGCATATATATATATATATATATATATATATATATATATATATATATATATATATATATATATATATATATATATATATAATGTGTGTGTGTATTGTTTGTAGGAAGAGTATATCTTTTATGATAAAACAAACAAATAATGACGACAAAAGCATATATAATAAATTATTAACAAATTATTTGAATATCAGATTTAGCCACATATTGTTGTAAAGGAGGTCAGGGCATGATCAACATAGGTTTAATAAATAAGACAAAGGCAACAGATAAAATAAACAACACACAAAAACACAAGAAATAACAAAATTAGCATTAACAATAACAATATTTTCGTCTATATCGCGGTGTTGCACGTCTCGTCCGGATGTGGTGATCTGACTAAGGATTCGACGTCGAAGCCTGTCGATAAAAAGACTTTCCTGCACCTTTTCTCAGCCTCTTCAGCCTGTTTAAGGTTCCTGGCGTAGACATAAGCCCACTCTACCTTGGCTTTTTCTGTGGCTTGTTGGCACTGGTACACGCATGCCAGCCTGTCGTAGTCGGTATCAAGAACAACGAACGTGCCGGTTTCAAGACCCTGTTCGAAAGGGTGACAAACGAAAAATTAATTAAATTGGAGAGAGAGAGAGAGAGAGAGAGAGAGAGAGAGAGAGAGAGAGAGAGAGAGAGAGAGAGAGAGAGAGAGAGAGAGAGAGAGAGAGAGAGTTAAAGAAGAGTGGAGAAAAAGAGAGAGAAAGAGAGACACAGACAGACAGAGAATGAAAATATATGACACAGATAACTACATAGATCACTAAATCAAAACTATATGAACGTAAAAATAAAACAGAAACACGTATCCATAAATATCAACAGGTACACAAAACCCAAACAACAACAACAAAAACTCAAACAACAACCCAAACCAGCTAAACCAAACAAAATAAAAAAACAAACAAAATAAAACTAAAAAAATAAATAACAAACGCAAAAAACAAAACAAAAAAAAACAAGAAAAAAAAATCAATAACAACGCACATGCAATTCCATAACAAACGATGACTGCACTTCCTGGGGCCGCAGTCGAGTGACCACCTTCGTCAGTTCGTGGTTGCTGTCAATGCCTGTCGTGATGCGCAGCGGGGTGTCTGGAAGGTTGGAGAAAATATACTATTATTGTTATTATTTCTACAACTGCTACTATTACTAATAGCCTACTTCTACACTATTATTATTACTACTATTACTATTGCTGCTGCTATTATGACTACAACTACTATTGCTGCTATTGCTATTATTACTAGCTATTAGTACTACTATTGTTATTTCTGTCATGTATTTTCTTATTAATCTTATTTAATTATCATTATTCTATCATCGGCATCATCACCATCGCCATCGCCATCATCACCATCACCATAACCATAACCATCACCATCATCATCATCATCATCACCATCATCAACATCATCATCATCACCATCATCATCATAAAACAATTGTATCATCATCATTATTATCAATATCATTACCATAATCAACTTTATCATTACTACAGTTAATACCATCACCCATTTTGATATTAATATCTTACCTACAATCACACATACGATAAAACATACCGTAACGATAAACGCAATCACAGCAACCTCTTACCAGCGAGCAGTTGTTAGCATCATTACTACCACCATCCTTATCACCAACAGAGTACATTCAGGAAATTCGGTATACAATTTTTGAAAAACCAAAGTGACTTGCCTTCAGTGATGATAAAATGCATATTGACGCACTGCCTCGCTTGCCTGAACACATTCGGACGAGACGAAACCTCGACCCAACGACCTGCGAACTGGCAATACTTTTTTGTTAGAATGGTACAGTTGTTTGATATATATAAATATATGTGTATATATATATATATATATATATATATATATATATATATATACATGTTTTTGTACATCCATATATTATGCGAATCTGTAAAAAGTAATATTGCGCTCACACACAAGTATGCACACACACACACACACACACACACACACACACACACACACACACACACACACACACACACACACACACACACACACACACACACACACACACACACACATAAGATGAAATGCTTACAATCACGTATAGGATACACACATACATACATACGCACACTATATATATATATATATATATATATATATATATATATATATATATATATATATTTATATTTATATTTATATATATAAACACATTCACACACACACACACATACATCAATTCCACAAAATCCTACACAACACATCCGAACATCTCCCCTCAAAAAAAAACAACTCTATTCCCATGTACCTCTCCGTAGCTAAGCGAAGCCGGCGGACGCACATTGAGACACGTGCCGTTCCGTATGTAGGCCAGGTCGGGCGTCAACGGGACCGCGATGCCCAGCTCCCACGTGATACCCAACAAGAGGATAAATACCTGTTGGTGATTGATTAGTTATTTTTAAGGTAGTTGGGTAGTTATTTTTAAGGTAGTTAGGTAGTTTGAAGGTGTTAGTGTTATGTCTCACGAAGTTGTATGAGTTAAGGAGGTTGTTTGGTTATGAGAGATGTATGTTAGTTACTTAAGTTGTGTTGTTAGGTTAGGAAAGTTTTTTTTTTTTAATTTGGAAAGTTCAAAATTGCTGAAGTTATAGCTTACTTTGTTATTTGAGTGAGGTTATTGAAGTTATAGTAGTTATGATTCGTGTAGTTATGGTTGTTATAACTTTTTTTATAGATGTATCATAACTGTTGGAGTTATAGTTGTTGTAGTTACCATAGTTGTAATTATTATGGAGGCTAGAGTTACTAGAATTATTGTAGTTTCTCTTAATTTCTTTATTCATATACGTTGTATCTTTAGTCTATTAATAATTGATGTACTTATGGATTTTGTTCAGTTGTCAATTTCTTTGTTTACATTAGCTTTAGTACACTGATTTGTTTAGTTGTTTCTTATTATTGAAATCATTATCATCAATCTATTTTCTTCATGAGTATCTTTAGTTTCATCATCATTGAAATATATATATACTATCATAATAACCATTATTGTTAATACACGCAATCTCAGCATAACTGTTGTCACCATTAACACCACACTCAAGAACATAAAATTAATCTATTACAAGAAAATGCACATGTTCATGAAATTTTAAAGTAATTGAAATATATATATATAATCAATTTTTACAAGAAAACAAAACATTTACAAATAAACAACAACAATAAAATAACTCACCAAAGAATCCATGTCTGTTGCCAAGACGTAAATAAACACAAAACTTCAGAAAAAGTTCACCGGTCTCCCAAACTTCAAATGCCGGTTCGGACGATACGAGGCGTCCTTATATATATACTCACAGACACACACAAACGCACGCACGCGAGGGAGGGATAGGGGGAGGAAGGGAGGATGGGAGGGGGAGGGGAGTGGATGAAATTCCAGGTCGGAGAAAATTTGGGTTTGGTTGAGCAGGGGGTAGGGGGGTAGGGTGGGGAAAGGGAAGAGGAGGGAGTAGTGGGGAGAGAGAAGAAGGGGAGGGGGGAGGGGGAAGGGCGAAATGAGTATGTAGGGGATGGGGGGGAAGATTCTGGCCTCGTTTTGCTGCGAGAATATTTTGCGCGCTCGCGTGTGCGTGTTCCTTTATATATATATATATATATATATATATATATATATATATATATGTATATATATATGACACAAACACAAACACAGTAACGTGTACACAAAGATGAAAGGAAAACTGCCATTGTAAGAAATGAAATTGAATTGTAACGTTTCGAACTCTTCACAAATTAGGGGGGCTGCAAATTTTCTGCCCCAGTGAAAGAGGAAGAGAAATTTCACCTGCCAGAAAATTTGTGATGAATGCCACCAGTGGCGTAGATAGAGGGGGTCGGGGGGGGGGGGCGAAAACCCCACCTATAAGGCTAAACTGCCATTTTGTCGGAAAATTTCTGCACTTGTCGGAAAAATAACGATGGTTTTCTGTTTTGTTTAGTTCTAGTGGCCTTATGTTATGTTCAAAATAATAAAAAAGGAGAATTAGTGTCAAATTTTTGTCTGGATATCTTCATTTCTCGCCCCCTCGATGAATTTTCCTATCTACGCCACTGTCTATATTATATGCCGATAGAAAGGAAACACATCTACTTTTTCGCACAAATGAAAGGCCTCAGTGTGCTAAGAAAAGTTTTCTGTTTTTTAAATCCCCTTCTTAAAGTATCTATGTTACATTAATATAACTTTTTACCGATATCTTTTTCGCAAAATTGATAGTTTCCAATTTCTATGCCCATTGCCCAAAACTGCCCGAATTCAACCCCAGCCCCCCTGGCTCCTACGCCTATATATATATATATATATATATATATATATATATATATATATATATATATATATATATATATATATATATCATAACACTTACACGTGTTTCATTTTGTAATCTTGTAATCTTGCCCACTCGCATAATATGATAATTTGAATAAATCATTTCTTCTATCAGGATGCCAAATAAGCAAGAAACATTCGGTTTAAAAATCTTTAATACATTTTAGTATTTACGTAAAAGATATATAATATCAGTTTTGTCTTATCACAATACAGTTTGACTTTTTATTTTGATGTGACTGTGTGTAATTGTGTGTGTGTGTGTGTGTGTGTGTGTGTGTGTGTGTGTGTTTGTGTGTATGTGTGTTTGTGTGTATGTGTGTATGTGTGTGTGTGTTTGTGTGTATGTGTGTTTGTGTGTATGTGTGTGTGGTTGTGTCTGTATGCATTATTCTACAAATCAAACATCACATCTACCAGACATACTTCTCGAGAATGTCCTTAAAGACAACCTTGAGAAGACCAAAGTCAACTTATGGTACATCTATGATATATATTATTCACATCTCGATTCTGCCTCCTTTAGGCTCCTTTCGGGCTAATACTTGGGTTCTTCGCTCGTCCTTCAAGTTCCAAGTGAAGGACAACCTCATGGAGGTGAAGGGGTGTGATGTGCATGAAACACGCCCTTCCTACCACCTAAACACCTCCCTTTCCCTCGAGCCAAGGGCGTGACAGTAGCCCAGGGGAGGGACAGATGGGCGGAGGCAAAGGACGTGTGGAAAGAGAATGAAATCCGACCTTCTGACGGCGCAGGAGGGAGGGACGTTCCCCCTTTTAGAGCGCTGTGTTGCAGGTCTCCGTCGGGTGAGGGGAAGCCATGATGCTCTCGACGTCGAAGCCCTGAGCCTGGAGGACCTTGGAGCACCTCTTCATGGCGACATTAGCCTGGGACAGCTCGCGGGCGTAGACGAAGGCCCATTCCACCTTGCGGTCGGGCGTGGCTTGCTGGCACTGGTACACGCACGAGAACGAGGTGTAGTCGGTGTCCACTACCACAAGGTCGCTCGTGGAGAAGCCCTAGAAATTGAAGGGGGGGAGGGTAGTAAGTATTAGTATGTCTACGAAAAAATATATATACATGTAATCCAAGAACAGATATATATCCGTACATTTGAAGAAGAAAATAACAATAACATGAAATTAAAAAAAAAAAACGATCTTCAGGTACAGAGATAGTTACGAAAAGTTTACACCCATACCATGATTTTCGTCCTCGCTAAGATTACGCAACATACAACAGAAATTTTACCACCATCACCATTATCACTATCCAAGCTATACACACCTGAATCCTCACGTCAAAAGTAGAGGGTTCTGCCTTAGGGACAAGCTCGGTAATAACTTCTGTGAGTTTGTTTTCCTTGTCCATTCCGGTGGTCACGCGAAGGGGTGTATCTGCAGAAGGAAATCGGGGCTTAGACATCGTGACGACAAAGAAAAAAGTTTGTTTGTTGTTTTCGTTGTTAGGTTTATTTGTTAGATTTTCCTAGAGGGTTGATTTTATTGGTTTGTTATCAACCGTTGTATTCTATGATGCTTTAATTTCATGGACCTTACTGACATGTAACTGAAATCAAATAATACAAGACGGTCAGGCAAATGAAAACACTAATGAAGAAATAGATACAAATCAAAATCAAATGCACGTTACATACGAAAAGAAGAAAGAGAGAGAGAAAGATAGAGAGAGAGAAAGAGAGAGAAAAAGAAAGAGAGAAAGAGAAAGATAGAGAGAGAAAGAAAGAGAGAGATAAAGAGAAAGAGAGAGAGAGAGAGAGAGAATATATACAACTAGAAACTCACCTTCAGTAACAACGAAATGGAAGTTCCTGCACTGGCGTTCTCTACGGAAGATATTAGGTCGGGCGCCCACCTCGACCCAGCGACCGGAGAACTGTGGAATCGAAAAATATATATATGTTTTAGTAATCTTTAATCCTCTGCTTTATTTAATATTTCCATCTCTTACCCCATTCATCTAGTCATTATTACTATGGTTAATTACCTAGTCATTATTATCAAATTTTTAGATTAATAAATGAAATATTGTATTATAATACATCATCTGTTTTATATTATCTGTTTTATTATCTGTTTTATATGTTATTATTAGTTCTTATCTTATTCATCTATGCATCATTGTTATTGTTATTATCTTTTTGCATTAAGTTCGGGATTATTGCTATACTTGCGATGATGATAATGACGACGACAAAAATGATAATAGAATTAAAATAATGATGATATTAATAACTACTATCAGCTTAATTACTATAATTTTCAATAATATGATCATTATTCTTATCCTTGTCTCTTTTTGCCAATTATCACCAATATCAACATTTTTTTTTTCTTCAGATTATCTCATGGACGATGTTAAACGCGGCTGGAGAAACCCGTAGACCACGTGACAAATATTGCCAAAAAACAAATACAAATAGAACAAGAAACAAAAAAAAACGTAAAGAAAAATAAACCAACATAACACAAACAAGTACAAAACATATAACAAAAAAAACGAACAAAAAAAGAGAAAAAAACAAACTCAAACAGACAAAAATTACAAACACACACACACACACACAAACACACAAACAAACAACAACAAAAAGCAAGAAAAAAAACAAATAAAACCCTAACCTGCTCGTAGTTCAGCGGAGCACTCGAGGCCATAGCAAGACACTGGCCCTCTCTCACGTAGGAAAAATCGGGCGCTGGGAGGGCCATGGCATACCCCAGAGCACAC